ACTTGGCTGGCAAGGCACAGTGGCTCACACTTGTAATCCCAGAACTTTTAGAGTCAGAGGTGGGTGCATCGCCTGAGTTCAGGAGCTCGAGATCAGCCTGGTGAAACCCTGTCTCTACTAAAAATACAAAAATTAGCCAGGCATGTGGCAAGCACCTGTAATCCCAGGTACTCAGGAGGCTGAGGCAGGAGAATCACTTGAATCCAGGAGACTGAGGTTGTAGTGAGCCGAAATCATGCCACTGCACTCCAGCCTGTGTGACAGAGCAAGACTCAATCTCCAAAAACAAAATATTGAACTTGGACAATTTTCCTTGACAGTGGCTGATGAGATAGAGAAAGTTGTTGAGGTGCCCTGAGAAAGGTTTTCCTGGTTGCTACAGATACATAAAACAATCTTCTCCCACTCCCAAAATGCTATTCTGACTCTGATGTCTTGTACTACAGCAACCATCTTACCACCCTGAGAAGAGCTAAGCCTCTCACTGAGAAAGTGAGGATAGGGCAAAAGATGAAACAACACCCCAACTCCATGACACACACACACACACACAAGGCAAGCTCTTGATGACACTGAGCAGCTAAATTTTCTAATTCTGAAACTGCTCTATCACAGTTAGGTATACCTTCTTATTATTAGGAGACTTGTTAATATAAGAGTTAATTTTCCTTTTTGTTCAAGTCAGTTATTTTTTGGTAAATTTTGTTGAAGACATCTTAATCATTACCCTAAATGATCAGCAATGGCAGACCATCAAACTCTGTATTCCTCTTAAAGAGGCTGCCAGCAAGGATTTTGGCAGATGTGCCAAGGCTCTTCCTTGGATGATGTTTTGAGTACCCCTGATTTAACTGAAGGGGGTTTGTGCTACTTCAGCAAGAACTCAGAGAGCAAAGCCTTCAGTTTTACAAAGAACAAGAAATAACCTGGCTTACCTACAGTTCTGCAGGTTATCAAGTGAAAGAAAAAATAAGTCAACCTTTTCAACATCAGGTCATTAAACCAAAGACTAATGCAACCAAAGGTTGTCCCATATGGTTCCAGCAAAAAGGAAAAGGCCTACTTATGACTATCATGTCTTAAGAAAAAAGTTATTTTTAAACTGATGCTTAAGAGCAATTAAGAGACACTTTAGTAGTCCCAAATTCCCAGCCAGTACCGCAAAGAATGCCTTATCTTATTTAAGGTTCTTCAGACAGCCCTCTCTTTGAGAAAGAGGGAGAACCCCACAGTGATTTGACACAGAATGTCTTCTTTTTGTGTTTGGCTCAAATAAAGTGTCTTGTTTTTCCTAAGCATAGATACAAGACAAATCCATTCAACTGTCTACTAAGGCTTACAGGTATGTAAGTGTTTCCTGAGAACTTGCTCTTGCTGATGATAGAATAATACTGGCAGCAGTGAGCAAGACCACATTCTCCTCGAGAAACAAAGCTGACTGCAAGACGCAGAGGGCTTCCTTTGTCTCCTGTACTACCTTCTCTCAGCCTCATCAACTAATCTCCTTCTCACAGTCTATCCTGGGACTTGGAGGTAACAACAAATTACAAGAGTGTACTTCCGGTCACTGCTGATTTACACATTCACAGCAAATTTTCTTATCGAGTTCTAGGTGCTTTATAGCACAACACCCCATATATAAAGATAAAATGTGTTACTGAATAACACTGACCACTTAACTCTAAATCCCACATGAGTAATTCCATTCTTTGAAAGACTTGTAAAATGTACAGTGGATCTTACTATGGCCAAGCAAAATGCCTTTCTTCAGTTTAGGATAAGCTGTCAATTAGCTTTAAACAAGAAATGAAACTACTGTCAAAAAGTTCCAGTGTTTTCTGTGCTGACCAAGTATTTTACATAAAAAAGTTAGTTCTGAAATAATGTAAATTGATAAACTGGAGGTTGAAATTAAATTCAAATTGGCTGGATGTGGTGGCTCATGCCTGTAACTCAGCACTTTGGGAAGCTGAGGCAGAAGGATCATGTGAGTCCAGGAGTTTAAGACCAGTCTGAGCAACACAGCAAGACCAAGTCTCTATAAAAAAAAAAAGTCCAAATCATTGTACTTAAATTAACATGCTTCTTACCAATTTTCCTGCCCCTAGGTCCACATACTCCATTCCCACCCCCAAATCCATTCTCCACAATGCAGCTGGAGTAGAAATTTTAAAGCGTCACTTCTTAGATCCTATTCAAATGACAAAGTTCAAATTCTAGCTGGGACATACCACGTACTCTTCATGAGCTAACCTCTGTCTGTCTCCATTCTGGCTTCTCTTTTACCAGTATTCACCTGGCTAGCTCCTACTCATCCCTTAGGATGATCTTTCCAAGGGTGGACTAGGAACTAGGTTAGCAGAGAGGCAACAGTTAAGAGCACTGGCTCTAGGTTCAAATTCTAGCTCTTCCAATTTCTTTTTTTTCCTGAGATGGAGTCTTACTCTGTCACCCAGGCTGAACTGCAATGGTACAATCTTGGCTCAATGCAACCTCCACCTCCTGGGTTCGTGATTGTGCTGCCTCAGCCTCTTGAGTAGCTGGGATTATAGGAGCATGCCACCAGGCCCGGCTGATTTTTCTATTTTTAGTAGAGATGGGGTTTGGCCAGGCCGGTCTCAAACTCCTAATCTCAGGTGATCTGCCTGCCTTGGCCTCCCCGAAATGCTGGGATTGCAGGTGTGAGTAACCGCGCCCGACCTTCCAATTTCTAACCCTGTGACTTTAGGTAACGTAAATTACATCTCTAGGCCTCAGCTTACTTACCTTTAAAACTGGGTTAACAAAAGTAACTAACATGTAGAGTTATTTTGAGAATAACACAATACTGGTAGTCTTTTTAACATAGTAAGAACTTAGAATTATCTATTATTTTTATTATATATCTCGTATTTGAGCTGCCTATACACCTTATCACAGCACTCATTGTTCTGTATAATAACTGGTTATTAGTCTCCCCAACACCTAACCATTGGTTTTCACCTGCTCTCCCTGCCACCCTCCTACCACTACCACTACCACCACACATACCTAACACACCTGAGAGTTACAACTTGTTTCTATTAGTAACTGTGGCCCACTCTGGCAAGTGATTCTCAAGGAGTGGTCACCTCTGGTTGAGAATTATTTAGTTCAACTACTGGTTCTTGACTGGGGATAATTTGGCCTTCCAGGAAACATTTGGCAACGTCTACAGACATTTTTGGTTGTTGTACCACCACTGGTAAATAGTGGTTAAAAGCTGAGGATGCTGCTAAACATTCTACAATGCTGAGAACAGCCCCTGTACAATAAAGAATTATGTGGCCTAAATGACAATGGTGCTAAGGTGGAGAAACTCTGAACTAAACAGTACATTCAGGAATTTTATCACTGGCATCGACTCTAACATCTGGTAAATTAGACATTTAATAAATGTTTCATGAAAAGAACAAGCTTGTTATTTATCATCTGAGATGAAGTCTCACTCTGCCGTCCAGGCTAGAGTGCAGTGGCACAATTTTGGCTCACTGCAATCTCCACCTTCTGGGTTCAAGCAATTCTCCTGCCTCAGCCTCCTGAGTAGCTGGGATTATAGGTGTCTACCACCACACCATATTTAGTAAAGATGGGTGTCATTATATTTGTCAGGCTGGTCTCAAACTCCTGACCTCAAGTGATCCACCTGCCTTGGCCTCCCAAAGTCCTGGGATTACAGGTATGAGCCACTGTGCTTGGCAGAAAAAAAAATTGAGCTTGTAATTCTAGCATATTCTGTAGTAATTTAAGCTACTAGACTCTAATATATATGGAGACACACAGAAAGTAACTTTTTCCCATAGGCCCTTTCTTTTATAGATCATCAATCATATTTCTTTCTTGATGTTTTAACAATAAACACATTATTTAAAAAATCTTTTCTATTTAATCTCTTCTACTGAAATAATGCTGCCCACACAGGAGCGCCAACTAAGAAGACCAAAATGTTTGGTGTTCTTTAACTGAGAAACCTGAAAATGCCACCACCCACACACCCCCTCTTAGGGCAGCCAAGTAGATGCTGGCACCTGAATGTATGCTTTGAGCTACAATTCATCAATCACTGAAATTCAAATGAGTGCAGAGGTGGAAGGTGGTAGAATTTCGCTAAGAAATAAAAAAATTACAAGGCCAAACATCATTAAGAGAGTTGACATTCTTTTCTGCCAAACTTAGAAAGGACACAGCAAGGGCAATACACATAGCCTTGTTCCAAGCACCTCTGTTGCCCCAAATTGCATAATGTCTTCTATGCTTTTAGATAAACAATAATGAACTTGGAAGAACACACAGAAGAAACACTAGAAAGTGTAATTGAGAACAAGCTGAGGTCAGTCATCATAAGGGACTTAAAAATGGTTAAAGCTTGGAATGCTTCTTTAAAAAAAGCTATCTACAGACACTAATTAAGACTGACTTAAAAAGATACTTAACATTATTCTATTAGTTGCTTTGGGGCACATCTTCCCCATTAGACTGTGAACATATCGAATTCAACTTTGTATTAATAAATACAGCAGGCCAGGTGTGGTGGCTCACGCCTGTAATCCAAGCACTTTGGAGGCCAAGGCGGGAGGATCACCTGAGGTCGGGAGTTCAAGACCAGCCTGACCAACACGGTGAAACCATGTCTTTTGAAAAAATAAATAAATAAATACAGCAAAATTTTGATGCCTGGTATGTAGGTGCCTTAACACATTTATTGACTGAATAGATGAACTATATGCAGATTTTTTTTCTCCCTTTCTAGTAAGGCATTTCCTTTTTTATAAACTTAGCCATTTCACCTTCCTCTGAATTTAATATCTTAGCTAATCAAATTCAGTGGCACAAGGAATGCTGTATTCAGATCAAGTACATCAAATAGCAGATCTCTGTAACATTTCCATGAAACCACCCCTCCCTATCACTACCACCACCTACTACCAAAAAAGGGACAGAATTCTCCCTTCCTGCTTATTTATAAGGTTATCATTCCTTACCTTCTTCAGGGGCAGCTGAAGCTCCCTCAGGTAGTACAGGCTGTAACTCTCCAGTTTCAGAATTATTTTCCAAATCAGTCATCTGCAGTCCTTCCAGATGACCTCCTTTAGCATTAGCCCTCAAAGAAGAAAACAACTTGATATTTTTATGTAAGTAGTAAGTGACAAAATCATGTATGTTTTCTTTTTCTTTTTTTTTTTTGAGATGGAGTCTGGCACTGTCACCCAGGCTGGATTGCAATGGCATGATCTTGGCTCACCCTAACCTCCGCCTCCCAGGTTCATGCGATTCTGCCTCAGCCTCTTGAGTAGCTGGGATTATAGGCACACACCACCATACCCAGCTAATTTTTTATATTTTTAGTAGAGATGGGGTTTCACTATGTTGGCCAGACTGGTCTCAAACTCCTGACCTTGCGATCTGCCTGTCTGGGCCTCCCGAAGTGTTGGGATTACAGGCGTGAGCCACTGTGCTCAGAAAATAATCTACATTTTCTTTTTGAACTGAGCACCAAACTAAGTAGGGTACATGCTCTTGTGTTTAACACTACATTTCAAATTTTATCTTAAAATATTTCACTAAGGGCTGGGCATAGTGGCTCACATCTGTAGTCCTAGCACTTTAGGAGGCCGAGGAGGGCAGATCACCTGAGGTCAGGAGTTCAAGACTAGCCTGGCCAAGATGGTAAACTCATGTCTCTACTAAAAACACAAAAATTAGCCGGGCATGGTGGTGGGCACTTGTAATTCCAGCTACTTGGGAGGCTAAGGCAGAGAATTGCTTGAACCTGGGAGGCAGAGGTTGCAGTGAGCTGAGATTCCGTCACTGCACTCCAGCCTGGGCAACAGAGTGAGACTCCATCTCAAAAAAAAGTTATAAAATGGTAGATTCTATCAATGTTAGTATTTTGGCTCTGATATTGAATTTCTCCCCTAATCTTATCAATAGAAGTTTTAAATAATATGTTCTAATAAGAAAAGACTTTTGAGATATATTATTATTATTTTTTGAGATAGAGGTTCACTCAATCACCCAGGCTAGAGTGCAATGCTGCAGTCTCAGCTCACTGCAACCTCCGCCTCTTGGGCTCAAGCGATTCTCCTGCCTCAGCCTCCCAAGTAGCTGAGATTACAGATATCCACCACGATGCCTGGCTAATTTTTGTGTTTTGTTTTTAGTAGAGATGGTGTTTCACCATGATGGTCAGGCTGATCTTGACCTCCTGAACTCAAGTGATCTGCCCACCTCGGCTTCCCACAGTGCTGGGGTTACAGGTGTGAGCCACTGCATCTGGCCTGCGATATATTATTGAATGAGAAAACAAAGTACACCTTGTAATAAAAAAGCTACAGAGTCACAGTTCCTTAAACATACACAAAAACTGAGAAGACACAGCATATATGAAAACTTAAGAACAGCAAGAACATGTATGGACAACTAGGTTGTGGGAGATAAGGATGAGAAATTTTTCACTTATTCTTTTTTTCTTTCAGTTTGAAACACTTAACATTAGTATTTAATATTTATTTTTTATTTAAAAAATAAACAGATTGTGGCAAGGTCTTGCTATGTTGCCCAGGATGATCTTGGAACTCCTGAGCTCAAGCAATCCTCTCGCCTCAGCCTCTGAAAGTGCTGGGATTACAGGTGTGAGCCACTGTACCCAGCCTTTCATTAGTATTTAAACTTTTTGCTTGCATGACTTTAGATAAGGCAGGGAAAAAAGACATGAGCTGGACAGCATCTACATGAACCAGGCTGGCAGATACAATCAACTGTAAAATGAGGATCATGGCTAAGAGCTGCAGACGTTTGTACAGGATTTTACATTCTAGGGGGAAAAAACCTACATTCATGTATAAATTTGATGACTAAAGGCAGATAAAAAGATCTCCATAGCAAATAAAATGTAAGAGCTAGCTGCATCTTTAATTTGAAGGAATGTATATAACATCAGGCTATGTAATAGAGAAGACAAGATAATCTCCAGTGATTTTAACACCTTTCTACTGCTGAGACTTAAGCTACAAGGGAGAGCTAAGCCACCAACTGATCTTGTAGTTTTGGTAATAAGCCAGACCTTGACTATATAAAATTAAACTTAAAGGGTGTTCATCTTTCTCCAATTTAGTTAAATTATTTTTAGAATCTCTAAAATAGAACTACTTCATTGTTTAAATTTAGAAATAGGTTTAATATCCATAAAATGGATCAACAGATGTATATTAATGGCTCATCTACCACATTCATAGGCAATATATTCCACAATTACTCTATCTTTTGAATAGATGGAAGTTTAATTGCCATGCCTGGAATTTGAGTTTATGTTTCCTAGGGGAGAGATAAAGGAGTCAACTACCATATATCCTTTTTGGAAATTCCAACTATAAGTTTTGAGGATACTTTGATAAGAGGAGAGGTGGTGAGATAAAATCAGAAGAGCAGTGGTAAAATTGCTATAAGTGCTTTGTTTCATAGGAAATATATATGAAGGCCTGTGACAGGTAATATAGCCTAACACATCTTTGACAAGTGTAGGACTGCAAAAAAAAAAAAAGCTGACACACACACACACACACACACACACACAAATTTACAAGGTAGAGTTCAGATAAGGTTACATATCATTGTGAAAATAAGCTCCAACTTATTTAAACTAAACTTCTGGTACTATCTCATCCTGTTAAAAAAAAAAATAAGTAAAATCTCTGATACTTTAAAAAGTTGAAGTTTAGGCCAGGCGCAGTGGCTCACGCCTGTAATCCCAGCACTTTGGGAGGCCAAGGTGGGCATACCACTTCATGTCTCAGGAGTTCAAGACCAGCCTGGCCAACATGGTGAAACCCTGTCTCTACAAAAATACAAAAATTAGCAGGGTGTGCTGGCAGGCATCTGTAATCCCAGCTGAGGCAGGAGAACTGCTTAAACACAGGAGGCAGAGGTTGCAGTGAGCTGAGATTGTGTCACTGCACTCCAGGTTGGGTGACAGAGCGAGACTCGGTCTCAGAAAAAAAAAGGTAAAATTTAGTGCAATAAATGTATTTTTTGTCCACTAAAAAATTAACAAGGTAGAAATTAATTTGTTCATCATGATGCATTCTTAAAGTTCCAAACAAAGCTATTAACTATTATACCATTATATATACAAAACTTAATTTACCCCAAGGTGACCATTTTCCTCCTTTTCTCAACAGCAGGTAAACCACTGAAAACTGCAACCACAACAGCATCTGAATCCAAAGCTTTACACTGCCGATCTTCAGTTTTTGGCAGAATATCACTGACACTGCCATGTATCAAGGCTTGGGGAGAACTGTGCCTGCTCCCAGACTGAGAGCTTCCTGGGGAGCCTTCAAAAAAGAGAGAGAGAATATAAAAATTAGCTGGGCATGGTGGTGTACACCTGTAACCCAGCTACTCAGGAGGCTGAGACATGAGGATCGCTTGAATCTGGGAGGTGGAGGTTGCAATGAGCCAAGACTGTGCCACTGCACTCCAACCTGGACAACAGAGCAAGACTGTGTCTCAAAAAAAAAAAAGAGGGACAATCAGCAAGAAGGCAAATAAACATGAAAGGTCTCTCTAAGTTGTATTAGAAAACTTCACTTTATACATAATTTTAAAACTATATAAAAACTTCTAAAATAATTTTGAAATATATCCCAACTTTTTTGATGCCAAGCATTTAAAATTAAGGAGTCCAAAGGCTGTGGCTCACACCTGTAATTTCACACTTTGTGAGGCTGAGGCAGGAAGATTGTTTGAACCCAGAAGTTCAAGACCAGCCTAGGCAATGTAGCAAAACCCTGTCTCTGCCAAAAATAAAACATAAAAAAAGAGCCAGGCATGGCTGCATGTGTCTGTGGTCCCAGCTATTTGGGAGACTAACGTGGAAGGATCACTTGAGCCTGGGAGGTTAAGGCTGCAGTGAGCTGTATGATTATTGCACCACTGCATCCCCAGCCCTGATAACAGAGCAAGACCCTGTCTCAGGAAAACAATAAAAAATAAATAAAATAAAATTAAGAAGTTTAGAATATAGTCTAATGGCTGTATTTTGTTAAGGGTCTGTTCTGTTGTGAGATCAAGAAACTTTCGGGCCAGGTGTGGTGGCTCATTCTTGTAATCCTAGCACTTTGGGAGGTTGAGGTAGGTGGATTGCTTGAGCTCAGGAGTTTCAGATCAGCTTGGGCAACCTGTCTCTACAAAAACTACAAAGATTAGCCAGGCTTAGTGGTGCACACCTGTAGTCCCAGTTACTTGGTGGGACTGAGGCAGGAGGATCACTTGAACCTGAAAGGTTGAGGCTGTGGTGAGCTGAGATCACACCACTATACTCCAGCCTGGGTGACAAAGTGAGACCCTGTTTCAAAAAAAGAAACTTTCAAATCCAACTTTAGCATTTTTGGTACCCTTCACAGTCTAAAGCTTCATGATAACATAAATTTCAGGTAACAGATATCTACCCCACTGAAAGTACATTCTGAATCCCTCAAATTTACCTTCAGGCAGTGGCTGACAGTCTCCCTTTGAACGACTACTTTCCCCAGGGTCTACTGCTCTTCGAAGTGATAGACTACCTGCTACACTGGACCGAGCTGGCTTGGGCGAATTACTCTTCTTATTTGTGGCTGCAAAGACATTTAAGAACACCTCTGAACAGGATACAATAGCACAAAACTCACTATTTAGTCCATCAGCAAAAGTGTTAATCTTACCTTGCATGGAAGTTTTTCTGTCTACTGCCTAAAAATAAACAACATTCTGTAGCCCCAACTGGTTTATGACTTTTGTCATAAAACATTCCCATCTTGCTGCTTGTGAAGTAGAATCTTATTTTTTTGAGACAGAGTTTCACTCTCCTTGCCCAAGCTAGAGTGCAATGGCGCGATCTCAACTCACTGCAACCTCTGCCTCTGGGTTCAAGTGATTCTCCTGCATCAGCCTCCAGAGTAGCTGGGATTACAGGCTCCCGCCACTATGCCTGGCTAGTTTTTGCATTTTTAGTAGAGATGGGGTTTTGCCATGTTGGCCAGTCTGGTCTCCAATTCCTGACCTCAGGTGATCTGCCCGCCTCAGCCTCCCAAAGTGATGGGATTACAGGCATGAGCTACCATGCCCAGCCTGCAGAATTTTAACATAAAAGATTATCTGTGAGCTCCATAAGAAAAGTCATACCAATTTCAATGCAATTAAACTATTAACAAAAATATAACCCACCAAACATTTGGAAATTATAAAATATTGTTGGATTAAAAAGAAAATTAATGCTAAACAAATTACAATTGCGGTACTTCAAATCAAAATGTCTGGCCAAACCAGTAGTGAAAAGAAAATATATAACCTTAAAATGAATTAATTAGGGCAAAAAGGAACTATGTGACCTAATATGCATAGATTCAAGAGCTAGAAAAACAATAAAAATAAGCAAGAATGCTATTGCCAGAAGGTAGGGCCCTGCCCTTGAACTCAGCCTGCAGAACTGTGAGTTAAATAAACCTCTTTTAAAAAATAAATTTTTAGGCCAGGCACAGTGGCTGGCTCACGCCTGTAATCCCAGCGTTTTGGGAGGCCAAGTTAGTGCATCACAAGGTCAGGAGTTTGAGACCAGCCTGGCCAACACAGTGAAACCCCGTCTCTACTAAAAATACAAAAATCAGAGGAGAATTGGAGAAGATGGAGCCGTAGGACCAACTCAGGATTGCAGCTCCCAGTGAATCCGCAGATGGTGAGTGGACGCCGCATTTCTAGACGGATCTTTATTGCCCACAGACCAGGAGATTCCCAGGTGTAGGAGCCGCACAGGCCGCCAGGCTGTTTGGGCCGGCGCAGCTGTTTGGGCCGGGGCCGTGGCGCAGCAGCACTCCGTACAACGTACACTGGTTTGGTTGCCCTGTTAAACTGGCAATTGGAGATTTCGGAAGGCAGATTAGCACATTCATCTGATTAAATGAAACTTAAACAGAAAGCCAGGCCAGGAGATTCCCGGGCAGCAACGTGATTCCAGCCAGCACAGTGGGTCACTGCACGGAAAATCACACAGATCCCAGCGCCCTTTCAGCAGGCAACTGGAACACCTGGGAGAGAGTCAACCATTCAACTTAAAAAAAAAAAAAGGGAGCTCTGAGGCAGGGAGCCAGATGATCAGGCTCGGTGGGTCCCACCCCCACAAAAACAAAAACAGCAACTGGAAACGCTCAAGGTTGAGAGTTGCATGGCAAGCACAGCTGAACCCAGGACGGTGCAGCTCAAAGGGGGAGAGGCATCCGCCATCACCGAGGCACTCGACCCCTATGGAGGTACACTGCATTGCTGACGCAGCCTGCTGTTGCCGAGGCAACCTGCCATAACAGAGAGAGTCCGCCACTACAGAGGCGGGCCATCATCACTACAGCAGCTCGAACCACACCCATATAAACAAGACTACAGGGAATTACACACAGCAGCAGGGCGGAGCCCACAGCAAAAGGGCAGAGCCCACGGCAGCAGGGCGGAGCCCATGGCAGCTCAGCATAGGCACTACAGGCAAGCAGTGATTAGACTGCCTCATTGCTGGGCAGGACAGTGCAACGGATACTCATAAATAAAGCCCTAACTCCCTGGGACAGAGCACCTGAGGAAAAAAAAGAGGCTTTATGAGTTCTGCTGCAGCAGACTTAAACGTACCTGCCTAGCAGCCCTGAATGAACAATGGAGCTCACAGCTCAGCACTTGAGCTCCTATAAAGTACAGACTGTCTCCTCAAGTATAAAGTACAGACAGTCACCTCAAGCAGCTCCCTGACCCCCGTGTATCCAAAGAGTCACCTCACAAAGGACTGATCAGACTGGCATTTGGCGGGCATCATTCAGGGACAAAGATAGCAGAAGAAGAAACGGGTAGCAACCCTCACAGTTCTGCAGCTGCTACAGGTATACCCCAGGCAAGCAGGGCCTGGAGTGGACTTCAGTAGTCCTACAGCAGAGAAGCCAGACTGTTAGAAGGAAAACTAAGAAACAGAAATACTTCATCATCAACAATCTGGATGTCCATTCAGAGAACCAATTGGGAAATCAGCAACTACTCAGACAACAGGTGGATAAATCCACAAAGATGGAAAGAAACCAGTGCAAAAAGGAGGAAAACACCCGAAACCAGAACACCTCGCCTCCTACAAAGGACCACAACTCCTCACCAGCAAGGGAACAAAGCTGGACGGAGAATGAGTGTGATGAAATGACAAAATCAGACTTCAGAAGGTGGGTAATGAGAAACTTCCGTGAGCTAAAAGAACACATTCTAACTCAATGCAACAAAACGAAGAACCTTGAAAAAAGATTTGAGGAAATGATAACAAGAATGGACAACTTAGGAACATGAGTGAATTGAAGGAGCTGAAAAACACAACACGAGAACTTCGCGAAGCATGCACAAGTTTCAACAGCCGAATTGACCAAGTAGAAGAAAGGATATCAGAAGTCGAAGATCAACTCAATGAAATAAAATGAGAAGGCAAGATTAGAGAAAAAAGCGCAAAAAGGAATGAACAAAGTCTCCAAGAAATGTGGGACTATGTGAAGAGAACTAATCTATGTTTGATAAGTGTACCTGAATGTGACGAAGAGAATGAATCCAAGCTGGAAAATACTCTTCAGGGAATAATCCAGGAAAATTTCCCCAACCTAGCAAGGCAGGTCAATATTCAAGTCCAGGAAATACTGAGAACACCACAAAGATATTCCGCAAGAAGAGCAACCCCAAGGCACATAATCGTCAGATTCACCAGGGTTGAAATGAAAAAGAAAATGCTAAGGGCAGCCAGAAAGAAAGGTGGGGTCACCCACAAAGGGAAGCCCATCAGACTCACAGCAGATCTCTCGGCAGAATCCCTACAAGACAGAAGAGAGTAGGGGCCAATATTCAACATCCTTAAAGAAAAGAACTTTCAACCCAATATTTTATATCCAGCCAAACTGAGCTTCATAAGTGAAGGAAAAATAAGATCCTTTGCAAACAAGCAAGTATTCAGAGATTTTTGTTACCACCAGGCCTGCTTTACAAGAGCTCCTGAAAGACGCACTACACATAGAAAGGAACAACCAGTACCAGACACTCCAAAAACATACCAAATGCTAAAGAGCATCAACAAAATGAAGAATCTGCATCAACTAATGAGCAAAACAGTCAGCTAACATCAAAATGGCAGTATCAAATTCACACATAACAATATTAACCCTAAATATAAATGGGCTAAATGCACCAATCAAAAGACACAGACTGGCAAATTGGATAAAAAGCCAAAACCCCTCTGTGTGCTGTATCCAGGAAACCCATCTCACATGCAAGGATACACAAAGTCTCAAAATAAAGGGATGGAGGAAGATTTACCAAGCAAATGGAGAGCAAAAAAAAGCAGGAGTTGCAATTCTCGTCTCTAATAAAATAGACTTAAAAGCAACAAAGATCAAGAGACAAAGAAGGATATCACATAATGGTCAAAGGATCGATACAACAAGAAGAGCTAATGATCCTAAATATATATGGACCCAATACAGGAGCACCCAGATATATAAGGCAAGTTCTTAATGACTTACACAGAGACTTAGACTCCCACACAGTAATAGTGGGAGACTTTTAACACTCCACTGTCAACACTAGACAGATCAACCAGACAGAAAATTAACAAGGATATCCAGGACTTGAACTCAGACCTGGAACAAGAAACCTGATAGACATTTACAGAACTCTCCACCCCAAATCCACAGAATATACATTCTTCTCAGCACCACATCACACCTACTCTAAAATTGACCACATAATTGGAAGTAAAGCACTCCTCAGCAAATGCAAAACAACTGAAATCATAACAAACAGTCTCTCAGACCATAGTGCAACCAAGGTAGAACTCAGAATTCAGAAACGAACTCAGAACCGCACAGCTTTATGGAAACTGAACAACTGGCTCTTGAATGTTGACTGGATAAACAATGAAATGAAGGCAGAAAAAAGAAGTTATTCGAAACCAATGAGAACGAAGACACAACATACCAGAATCTCCAGGGCACATTTAAAGCAGCCTCTAGAGGAAAATATATAGCTATAAGTGCCCACATGAGAAGAGTGAAGAGATCCAAAATTGACACCCTAACGTCAAAACTGAAAGAGCTGAAGGAGCAAGATCAAAAAAACTCAAAACCTAGCAGAAGACAAGAAATAACTAAGATCAGAGCAGAACTGAAGGAGAGGGAGACATGAAAAACCCTTCAAAAAAATCAATAAATCCAAGAGCTGGTTTTTTGAAAAGATCAACAAAATAGACAGACCACTAGCCAGATTGATAAAAAAGAAAAGCGAGAATAACCAAATAGATGCAATAAAAAATGATAAAGGGGAAATCACCACAGATTCCACAGAAATTCAAACCATCATCAGAGAATATTACAAACGACTCTATGTACATAAACTAGTAAACCTGGAAGAAATGAATAAATTCCTGGACACTTATGTCCTCCCAAGCCTAAACCAGGAGGAAGCCGAAACTATGAACAGACCAATAACAAGGTCTGAAGTCGAGGTAGCAATTAAGAGCCTACCACACACAAAAAAGTCCAGGTCCAGATGGGTTCACACAAAGAGGAACTGCTGCCATTCC